TCCCGGAAAGGTTTACTCTGCTCGATCTAGTAAACCTTTCCCTGCGATCTGTTTATGTTGTTGTTTTTTTTACATCGGGGCCGCCGTCAGTCAGAGAAAAAAAACAGCATAGGAATGCATAGCCAGATTGCTATTGGCTATTTCACTTTGCAATAGCCAATAGCAGACTAGCTATTGCACCCGCCAACTGCTGCTTTCAATCAGCAGAGGGAGACCTGAAGTTCTCCATGAGGTCCTCTCCTAGTGATTGACAGCAGCAGTGGGCGGGTGCAATAGCCAGCTGGCTATTGGATATTGCAAATTGAACTGGCCAATAGCAATCTAGCTATTCATTCCTATGCTGGGTTTAAAAAAAAAAATTTATTCTGAAGGCAGCAGCTGTCAGAATACAAAAAAAAAAAAAACAGCAGATAGCAAAGAAGCTATTGCTTACTGCTTGCTATCTGCCATCATTTCAGGGGAGTGCAGATGGGGGGTGCACCTCCCTGAAATTGCTTTTTTCAGGTTGGGATCCCTGATATCATATTAAAGAGAAGACTAAGCAGAACTATTAGGCTGATTAGTTGAACTTTAGCCGAGTGTGCCAGACAGAAGAAAGATATGTAAGCGTCATTGTGAAGTCTACAGCAGCAGATAATCTCCTTCTGTGGAAATCTGGAGCTTTATTGTGCTGTTTATCTCACTACACCCTCTCACTGAATGTTACAACACTACACTCTCACTGTTTTTACAGCATGTCACAAGCATGTCATTTACCTAGCTAAGTTATTGTGTCAGTACAAAAGGTGGAGGAACCAGCTTGAAATTTCTTCCCTGAGGGTAGCATGTCTCAGTGAAAGGAGAGGGGACATGATGTCACTATGTCAGTCTGTATAGTGATAAAATAATGCTTAAATGTCTATTAAGAATTTTCCAGTGATAGGGTATCTTGAAATGTAAGTGCAGCCTGTCACAGTTCCTGGGTGTTGGGGACCATGACAGGCTATTCCATGCGTAACATCTATGGCTAGAACATCTATGACTTCAGAGGCATGGTGCAGGTGGAAATGGTGAAGGGGTTGATCTCTGCTGTGGGAATCTGCAGTAGGCACTGAAGTTTTGAGCTGTAGCTCCTACTAAAAGCAGCAAAACATAAGGCAATTCCCAAAACACCATCACTTCCTAGTGCAGGTGTAAAAGGCTTTGAGGTTATCCACTGTAGAGGGCTTCCCCAGGACAACTGGACTGACAAGCAACCTAGAAAGCTGGTAAACTTTTTTTACACTAAGAAAGTGCAAAGACTTAATTTCACTGTCACGGTAGGCAGAGGTCGGAAAACAAGTAAGCATCCATTTAGGCAAGGAGCATTTTGCTTTAAGTACAGCATCTGCTTTGTTCAGCTGTGTGCAAGGCTTAGGTACCAGGAGGCCTGGCAGAGATAGATTGATAGAATGCAGTATATAGAAATGAGCCTTAAATAAAACTCAAGTGAGGAGCACAGACTTCTGTAACTCTTTAGAACACCATATCCAGAATCACATATTCAAGCATATTTAAGGTCATCATCAATATGAACATGGATAGAAATGTACAAATTGTGAAGGATAAATAACTCAGGCCCTTTAATGTAAATTGGTAATTCCACATTAGGACATCGCCAGTTCAGCCCTAGTATAATTATTACACAACAGGGCCACAGCAGGTTACTTGAATGTAGTAGAACAAGCATGGGAGGTCAGGGCCACCCAAATTAGACAAAGCATGCTCAGTAGTAGGCTGTGCTTACTAAAGACTGTTAGAGCCTGTTGAACCGAGTAGAACTATATAGACTGTGCACAGCATTGCAGGATGGGTAATCCATGCATGTCACTTGCATTTATCTGTTTGGCCAGAGTTCAATTTTAATGGTAAAGTTAGCCCAGTATTCTGAGTTATATAGGCTCAGTTCACATGGCAATGGGGATAAGCAAGTAGTCATTACTTCAACACCTCCTCTACTGAGAGCTGTAAAGCACCCTTGCTTTAGGCACCTTGCATTCACATTCCTGGCCTTCTTCATGACATACATTGGAGGGCTGAGTCTGTGTCCAGAACCAGATTGCTGGGGTGCCTCTAGAATGAGTCACTCTGCTTAAACATGTAACCTGACTCATAGGCTTTTTTTTTCACCAATAATTCCCCTGAGGCTTGGGACTTATATGGAGCTAGCCTTACTTGTGCCTTTACCAGTATGCTTGAAGATGGCAGTAACTACAATCATAAATTTAAAGCAAACGTTCACCTTTATGACATTTTGTTTCCGCAACACACTTGCTGTGCATTTTTTATATTCTTTATTATATCCAATTCCTTATATTTATCCTTTTTTGTTCTTCGTTTTGCTGTTTTGTGCATACCCCCCCCCAAATTTTGATCATGGGTGATCTGTAGATGTCTGAGTGCTCACTTCTGCTGAGCATAACTGTGTGCTGGAATCCCTCTAACCTGCTTGTAGCTCTTAGTCATGCTTAGTTTAGCACAGTGAAACAGGATGCTGGAATCACCCCAAGGGTCCGTTTACCCCTTAGCGCTGTGTTGCAGTGCGTTAATGAAAGAGTATAAATGTGCATCTCATTTTGAATAGATCACCATACCACAACATCTTATACTGCAGATATACAAGTTTGAGGTTCAATGTACAGAAGTGCCTAGGCACAAGAAGTACACTGCTAATTTTTAGGCAGAAATTAAAGATAACCAAGACAAAAGTAGATTTTTTCACGGTACTGCTAATGCACAATTAACACCCTATAAGACAGCAAATCTGAACTTTTTGAGTTCAAGACCACTGTGAAGTGCAAGGTGTATGACTTTGTAATTTTTAAGCATAGATGTTACAGTTCGCATTCTATAGAAATAATTCATTGGCATGTGACATTTTTTTAATCTTAAAAGCATAACCCAACATTGGCAATTGCAGCATATAAACGTCTATAGGACTCATTCTGAAAATCCTTTTTTGTGCTCCTGACAGCCAGCCAACTTTTAGCTTGTCAAGTGGTGCCCTTGGCATGATGAAGAGATGCCAACATCCTTAGCTCTAAAACATAGCCTTAATAAGCTCATGAAATAATCACACGGGACGCCTCAATTTTCCTGTGTGCGAAGAGATAGAGGCCAGATTAGGAAAAACACTTTTGTTAACCCGGCGAGGTTAAGATAAGTGGTTTGCATAATGTTCACAAGTGCGCTGCCTTATGCAGAAAATTCCTTTGTGTCTGCCAGCACAAGTCTATTGGTGCCACATTACATTTGATCTCACATGTTGTGCTGTTCGTGCCAAAATGATTTACTGAGGCTCTCTGGGGAGGTGATGCCAAGTTTTTTTGCATATCAGTTGTAAAATTATTTCTATACAGTAAGTGTCAGTCCACAATGTGTTTGCCTTAACTTGTTAAATGATGTTTACTATTGGTGCCTTTTTTCCATAGAAAAACAAAAAGCTTGCAAAGAAAAGCGTTGAAAGTGGAGCATGTGGTTTATACCTAAATTTCAATTTCTGAAGACAATTATAGGGCTGTTTCTCAATGTCTTTATCATTTTAAAGTCCATGTTCACATTTGACCGCTCTTGTTTCTCACACATTTCACTAGGACTTTAAAAGAAAATTTAGGGGCGTATTCACAAAGCTGCCGAAGGCTTGTACTTCTGGCTTGTACGGCTGTACAGCTTGCTCTGCTCAACTGTTTCCTATTGCTTCCAACTGTTTTCCAACTGTTTCCGGAGTCTTCTAGCAGGTCCCAGCCAATGAATAACAACTGGACGGAGCCGACCATGACGTCACGGCCGGCTCCGCCCAGTTGTTATTGTTTAATGACAGGTTACCACCCCCAGGTCATTTGGGGATGCTGATCTGTCATTACAACTAGGCATAGTGAGATCACAGCTGACTCCGCCCAGCTGTCATTTGCGGGGAGAACGGCTGACCCTTTGGCAGGCCGTTCTTCCCGCTACGGCTTTCATTTCGGCCCAGTCGAGCTGAAGCATATGGCTTTGGCTGAGCCGCTCGGCCACCTTCGGCTGCTGTACGGGGTATTTTTAATAGCCCGTACAGCAGCCCTTCGGTTCGACTGAACTGAAGGGCAGAGGCGGCTGAAGAGAGCCAAAGGATCAGCCAAAGCTACTGCTGGATCCTTCGGCTCTTTAGTGAACAACCCCCTTAGTCTTTGAGTTATGGTATAATACCTTTTATAATCTGGTCTGATAAAATGACATTTTGCTCGCTTGCTATATACAGAAGTTTATGCATTGTTTTTTTTAATGTCAGATAAGTCCAACTGTCAACTTGCTCAACACTTGCTTAGAACAGATTTTGTAATTGCAGTTTTTTTTTTTAGCAGATTAGCAGACAGCACTGAGAAACAAGAGCAGTGTGGAACAATTACGGATTGTGGATTTTCTAAAAAGGAAACCAAATAGATAAGGGTTGGATACATATGAACCATCGATTTTCAATGGCTATTTTGAATAGCTGTTCAAAAAGATCAAATATATTTTAGAGATTAATTGTAAAACCAATTGTCAACTTTCTGAAAATCTAAATCCATATATTAATTTTACACCATATTCTATTGAATATAGGAACTGTTTTACCTGTTAAAATAACAGTTGCCATGGCAGGCAACACATTCAGGTTCTCGGCATCCACTGTAGCAGCAACATAGATTGGTCAAGCTCACACCCTCAAGTCAGAATGCACAGTGAATGATGAAGTCATTACTCACTCTGCCCCCCTCTGCCTCTGTATGCACATGTACACTGCAGCTGAGCCCCATTGGCTTAGAGCTGGCCCTCTGGCTCCAAGTCCTGTTGGAGAGTGATTTCTGCTGTACGAGGAATAGCTTAAGCTGGTATGAAGAAACATTCAAGTACTGACTAGTCATTCTTTAAAATGCATTAAATTACTTAAATGAATTGTGGATTTTTTTTTCTGCCTTGAGTTAATCTTTAATTTCTCTGCTTCTCTTCTGTCTTTTGTCTAGTAATCCAGTTTGGCTTTGTGACTCTGTTTGTGGCATCTTTTCCTCTGGCTCCCCTCTTTGCCCTGCTCAATAACATTATAGAGGTGAGGCTCGATGCAAAAAAGTTTGTAGCGGAGTTAAGAAGACCAGATGCCGTTCGCGCTAAAGATATAGGTATGCCTTGTTATTCCAAGCACTATTGTTAAAGTCAATGTTTTACAGCTCTGGATAATGTGTACAAGGGCTAGAAACTTAGTCAGGTTTTTCTATTGATTTCTGTGTTTACACTGGGGTGATTTGTTAAAATAAGTTGGAGAAAAGTGATGAGAATAAAGCGGGCCATCAGCAGCTCAAATTTTCCTCCTAAATCAGCTGAAATGCCAACCCTGCAAGCATCTGGGCTCGACAAAAGTTAATATAAAAATCCTCTTTGCCGGGTTGAAAATGATCAGGTGAACAATGACCCCATCCTATTAGACGCAGTCATTGTTTGGCAGTGCCACTGTATTCAGACAGCCACTAGGCCTGATTAATTCCTTTATCCCATGATGGTAGCTTGCAAAATAAAACCTGAGGCTCCAATTTAAATATTGTATATGCCCAGGACATGCTGTTTACTTTTTATTATATATACACTTTTTATTATATACACACACACACACACACACACACACACACACACACACACATATAAATATGTGTGTGTATATAGTGATGTCACTAGTACACCAGTCAAAGGGATTCAGCAAACGTCCATTTTAATGACAGAATGCCATTAAAAAATACAACGGCTTTCGGGGCCTCAGGGGGTCCCCTTCATCAGGCTCAGAAGCCTGATGAAGGGGACCCCTTGAGGCCCCGAAAGCGCTTGCATTTTTGAATGGCATTCTGTAATTAAAATGCGCTTTTGCTGAATCCCTTTCACTGTTGTGCTGGTGACATCTTTGTCATTTGTATGGTATTCAAGGCGCCATCCGTGGTCACTACAAGCACCCTCTTGTGTACACAGGACATCTATTGATCCGGTAAGGAGTGCAGCAAGATACATCTTCTCTTTGTGTGTCTATAGTGACCTCGAATAGAACAGGTACCCATGGATAATTGATTTGTGGTGCGTGTTCCAGGTAGGACGGTAGTATCGGTCCTCTTTGCAAGTATCACATGTTAAAACAAACATGTCAGATTGCAGGATGCTTCTCTTCTTGTCCTGGCCACACCCTCTGTCTATAAGGTATTTCTAATAGAATTCAAGACATTTCAGCCAAACCGTAGAGAAAACAGAGTGTGGGCACAAACAGGCTTATTTATATACTGTAGCAGTACAAGGACTGTGCAATGTGGAGTAACCCATAGACCAATCAAATTTCAGGTTACTGTAGTCAATTGACTGACAGGTTAATCCAGTTGCTATGGGTTATCATATTTTGCCAGCAGATATTTCCAGATGAAGTAAGGTTTTGAGTACATAAAACCTAAGTGTATATATTTTAACTTCTGTTGCAGGTATTTGGTACAATATTTTGAGTGGAATTGGAAAATTTGCAGTCATCATAAATGTGAGTATACTTCCATATCCAACAGTTTTCTGTAAATATTAACACGTGGATTGTTAGATTAGGTACAGTCTGCAGTTGCTTATAGCTAAATCTCTACAAATTAGTACAATTATTGCTAGTGTGTAGCCACTCCTTCCAAAAATACAGTGAATAATTTACAGTGGTACCTTAAAGCATCTGTATGGTTTGTGGATGGGATGTAGTGTCAGCCCAGTAATTAGACGAGATGCAGTCAATCTTCCTAATGCCAGCATGTTTATTGGATGGGATGCTTTCACACCCCTTAGTGGTCAGCCCAGCAATTTGATGGAATGCAATCACACCCCCTAGTGTCAGCCCAGCTATTGAATGGAATGCAATCCCACCCCCAGTATCAGCTCAGCTATTGGATGGAATGCAACCCCGCCTCCTAGTGTCAGCCCAGCTATTGGATGGAATGCAATTACACCTCCTACTGTCCGCGCATTTTTGGATGGAATGCATTCCCACCTCCTAGTGTAAGCCCAGCTATGGGAATGCAATCACACCTCCTACTGTCAGCACAGTTTTTGGATGGAATGCAATCACACCTCCTACTGTCAGAACAGTTTTTGGATGGAATGCAGTCACATCCCCAAGCAGCAGCACAGTTAATGAATGGGATGAAGTCACACCCTTTAGTATCAGTAAAGTTTGTGGAAGGGATTCAATTAAGTCTCATAGTGTCAGTACAGCTAGTGAATGCTGTGTATTAAAACTTCTAGGCAGTGCCGGGACAAGTTCATTCAATGCCCATGGTGACTATGCCAAACCGCTCCCCTCACCCCTGGTCTTTTCAAGACAAGAAAGTTTTTCAAATGCATTTTACAGTAAATAGTTTTAATTATGCCAAAACAGAATTTTCTTTCAACTGTTCTTGAGTGTATTCATATATTACATGAGCAGTGAGAGTATCACACATGTAGTACCTCATAGTGTGTACGTGTTTATGAAAGCATTTCCTGTTTTGGACGTGTAGTATGACCTCGTATGACATGTCGCTGTATAGCATAGGAGCCCTTGAAGTGTTCTAGGGCTCTGGATGGGCTGGAAGGCTGTGGGTGGGGCTGGGTGTCACTCTGAAGGGATATGGGGGTTCTGATGGGGGTACAGGACTCTGCAGTAGACTTGGTGGTCCTATGGGGGATGAAGGTTCTGGAGAGAGCTGGTGCAGATCCCCTAACCTCCCTGGAATTTCAAGGTCAAACAAGATGGGGGTGGGGAGAGTTTAGTACAGCCTCTGCACTGGGAGTACTAGACTACAACATACTTCCTCTCTCAGGCCCCGATCATGTAAGCCTTCACATGACTGAGGGAGGAGGAAGTATGAGACTTTACTCCCTGGTGGTTGCCTGTGCTGATTGTAGATCTGCTACTGCTCTAATTCAAGGGAAGTAATAATATACATTGCCTCTTCATGATACCTAAAGGAGAGGTACCCAGTGCTGGAACGATCACCATTACAACACAGGGCACTCACTGCCACTATGCGGCTCTGTTTTCATGAGGGAGGTTCATGTGCATTAATCATGCACTCACTCCCTCCCTCCTTGTCCTAGTCCTGGACCTGCTTCCAGGTCCAGTAAAGTTAATCCCTGAAGTTCAGCTGTGTGCATCACTAAAGCTAGGGGGTGGTGTATATTCACAGCTGCTAAAATCAATACAATGGATAAGAAAAAGGCATGGCTCTTAACAGGGCTACTAACTAATTTCTGCAGTTACTAACTTCTATTTCTGAAGTAAACAGAGTCTGTGGTTTATTCAATGTGGGTAGAGCGCTGATTGAATCCAGTTAAACAGAGAACTTGTAGAATGTAGACAACTGAGAAAATAGTTGCTTCCATCATCAGCTGCAGAATTAGTGAATTCTTCACAATAACGCCAGTTAACCTCTGCACAGGAAATGGTACACCTTGCAACATCAAGTAATTTCAGTTAATGGATTGAGTATAATTAGGATTTGGAAACATGGGTACCATTAATCAATAATGTGCAGTCACCCTCCCTTGCCACATAACCAGACTTAACATCAATACAGTTAACATGTAGGGTACAGTTACCTATCAGTACAATTTGTGGGTAAGATGCTGTCAGTCTTCTCAACATCAGTAGCAAAGTTAGTGGATGCTTCAATGCTACAATCATTCCTGCAGTCATCAGTACATTTTGCAGACTGGGTACCGTAACAAGTTCAGATATTTTTAGTTATTATTAGTTATTAAAGTGTATATTGGATTTTTGCATAGTTCCATGCAGAATACTAGGCCCTGGTGTAGCTTGACCTCCTTTCCTCTCAACTAAAGCAGTTAATGCAATCTATAAAGTGCCATAATATTTTCTCTTAGAGGGGTTTGGTTGGGAATTGTGTTGAATCGTCAAGAACATCTTAGGCCCTTACAATGTGGAAAACTGTAGGTTTAGTAGCATTGGTATAGTAGTTGAGCTGCTCTTCAACTAGGGTTACTCTTCACTTATTGAGGGACCTGGTCAGTGCTAGTAGAGAGCAATTATTCCATTCCACAGCCCTACGAACAATTGTATAAGGACCTCTTTATATGTTATCTGGTCATTTGGCATTTGAACCCCAATCATGTATGTCTACAAGAACATAGGGTGAATCATGTATGTTTCTGTTAATGGTGAGGTATTGTGCATGTGGAAAGAGCTTTGTTAGGGACTATCTACTCAATTTTATCATTGGCTTTAAGCCCTCTTTGTTTCCTTTTTTAAGATTTATATGAAATAAATAAATATATTTTTACATATTGTGGTTGGAGTTGTCATTTTCTGGTGCTTTCAAAACCCCACTTTTTCTTTCTTTAAAAGAATTCTTTTGCATACTACTTACCAGGGGTGTGGCACCTAATATCCAGATACAGGTCAAAACTTTTTTACTCAACATTGAGGGACCTGGGGTGAAGACTTAAAGTGTTGAAGAAAAGGAGTGCCAAAAACTGAATAAATAATTGAGGTGGTAAGGTAAGGTGAGGATGATCTTGATATTATGAGGTGAAAGCTGCAGATGATCTTGATATTATGAGATGATAGCCAACAAGTTTCAGGGGTAACATAATCCCACCCTACCCTTCTTCAGGGCTTCACATACAGATGATGCACACTGAATTGTAGACTTGCCATTTCACTAAATCAAGGCTTCAATAACAGAAACACTAAAGCCGGAAGAAATTAATTCAGTGAGGAGCCCTGCTGGCACCTTTCTGACTGGCATCCTGCGACCAGAAAATCAACTGAGCTGCTCGGAAAGTTTTAATTGTGAACAGTAACCACAGCCAATTGGCTTCCATCATTGTTTGAGTATTCTGACACTGGCACAACTGCCACTGTCAGAATACAATAGCCCAGTGGGAGATTCGATGGATGAATATTTTTTTTTGTTTTTTTGTTCAGTCTGCAGGGAATATGGACCATTTTAGTTATTTACAATAGCAACTGTACTGTACACTGCCTAGTCAGTCACTCTCCTATATTCAAGCCCTGAAGAAGAGACATTCTGTTACCCTCCAAAATGTGTTGGCTATCAGCTTATAATAAGAGATCATTTGCACCTAACTGCTTCATTTGTCATCCTTTTTTGGTGCTTCTTTTCTTATATACATCATAATGGCTACCCATGGCAGTCAGATGCTCGGTGAGTCCTGAAATTGGCAACGACAACCCTCACCATAGGTGCACTCAGAGGCTAGAGCTGTGTGCTTGGGGCACCTAGCTCTGGATGTATGGCGATAGCCTTTGCCAGCTTTGTGCAGTCTATCTTTCAGATACACTATTCCAAGTGAAGTTGAGCTGTCCAGTGTGCTATAGTCCTGCCTTTCAATGGTCATATTGTGAATCATCTTCTCGTTTACCAGAAACTTCCTTGTTTCTACTTGCTCTAGGGTTGCTTTTGTAAAAAAAAAAATTATTTCCCTGTTTTGCCATCGTAGATGCTTGGACTAAAGCAGTGTGTGAGGTTGTAGGAAGTGTCTGGACCTTTATCTTTGTCACTTCTGATTTTTGTCTTCCACACTGCCTGTCCAGGGCAGGACACACTCAGATCCATCCACAGGCTGCATGACTGATGCAAAATGTAGTTTTAGTAGTGTTTTGCATGTGACAATGAAAATTACATGCCAACCCTGCTTAATCCCACCCTGCCTCTCCTTCTTTATCTACTTGTAACAAACTTAAAAACATGTTAGATTTTTTTTTAAAAAAAGAAAAGAAAAACATCAGTTGATTTGCTTTGCCAATGCATGAGTAATATTATACAGACAGCAAAAAACAGGAGCCTATGATGGCCTTTGTGCACATGGCGCTGTTTTGATTGGCACATTTGTCATCAGACCCTGGCCTGTCCTGTAAAATCTCTAAACACTAGAACAAGCACATGCTAGTTTCCCTAATTCTTACCATTTATATCTCTCTCATCTCCAGGCGTTTGTAATATCTGTGACGTCAGACTTTATTCCTCGTCTTGTGTATCAGTATATGTACAGTTCGAACGGAACCATGCACGGCTTCATCAATCACACCCTTTCATACTTCAATGTCAGCCATCTGAAACCCGGAACCCAGCCAGAAAACTCGCAGTTTGTAGAGGATGTTGTTTTTTGCAGGTAACAGTAACCAGCCATTGTTTAACTGAGGAACAATAGTCTGTGTCTGTATTCATGTGTTCATAGATGTTTCTGTGTCAAGTTAGTGCAAGTAGGGCAGCTGTATTGTGGGCAGGTTACCAGCTTATTTTTCTGTAACAATCTGGGCTCTGTTAAGCAACTTCATAAAATTGTCAAAGTATTTTTGCTTTTAATTTCAGCAAATAGGTAGTGATGGAAAAGAGGTATGGGATGCATTGACAGACAAGTCCCTCCAGAAACCTTACTGGACAGCCTCCAGAAACCTTACTGAGTGTCATATAATGAATCTCACATCTAGGGCTGTATAGGTTAACTGAGAGCTTGAAAGCTCTATATAGTCTAAATCAGGGGTGGCAAACTCAAATTCATCGGGGGCCGCATCAGCAGTATGGTTACCCTCAAAGGGCCGGTTGTATAGGACTATGCATCTACTCACATGTGCCCATCTCTGCACCTCTGGATGATGACTATACATCCTTATCACACGTTTATATTCCACGCCTGGTGCTGCTGCACATTCCTACACAGCATACACCTTCCACCAACCATCACTGCAACTTCCAACACCATGCACTCTGCTTCCCCCGCAACTGCCCCACACATACACGCAGCCACTTACCCAGCCGAATCCCCTGCCGGACCCCGGGTCACTCCCTCTCCATCCCCTGCTGCCTCTCCGCCCGAAGCGCTGCCCGACCCCCGGCCCACAATCTGCGCATGCGCGGTAGATGAGGAGGTGGGGAAGAGAACACGATGGTCATATCACGCAGCTGCATCATTGGCGGGCACTGGGAGGTCTCACTGGTATGGAACGGAGCGCCATCTTGTGGCATATGGAACACTACCGCCGCTGCAATCGCTTGCTCGCTTCTGTTCTCTCTTCTCCTTCTCGGGCTCGGCCGCTCTGTAGCTGCAGCAGGCGAGAAAGAGAAGAGAAAACAGAAGCGAGCGAGCGCTTGCCGCGGCGATAGTGTTCCATCTCTAGTCCTTCCGGCGAGGCACCATTGCTGACATTCCACTCGCCCCCCGCAATTTTCACTCGCCAATTGCGAGTGGGCGAGTGGAAATTTTGAGGCCTGACATAGGGCCATGCGACTGGGCGTAGGCGGAGACAGAGCAAAATGAGGTGGCTGCTGTGCGGGCCACATTACAAGGTCCGGCGGGCCGGATTCGGCCCGCCGGGCCTTGTGTTTGCCACCCCTGGTCTAAATGATTTTTAGTACCATGCCAGACACTTTGCCAGGGGTAGGTTAAGCAAGGAGAGGCTTCCATATACCCAATGGATTTGCTGCTTTGCTGGCATAGTATGCTACAAAATCTGACTCGCTAGTAAAAAAACAGTGGAGGAGTGATGTCTTGCTGGTTCAAACAGCAAGGGATCGACGCCATAGAAAATGGTAAGTCGCCTGTTGGTAAGTTAATGCCTGCAATTCGATTGTTCATGTGGCATAAGCCTTAGGTCCCTTTAACATAGTGTTCTGATCAGGTCTGCCTGCCAGTTTTTCAGGCGGACCGGTTCGGAAACTCAATGTTAGTCTATGGGGAGACGGTTTGATTGCCATTTACATTCACTTACCTCTGAGTCCATCTAGGTCTACAAAAAAAACAAAAAAACAAACAGAGTTCTATTTTGGCGTACTTAAATGGCACCAATAGGAGGTAATCGGATGTAAACAGACATGTCCACCTACATCCACCTAACATTGGTCCAGTTAGTTAATTTTATTTCTTCCATTGCAAGATGGAGGAAAAAACTGAACAGACACAGATGTCACAAGAGTGATATGCATTCCATTCTTCTCCAATCAGCATGGGTAAACATCGCGATTTAACAGCCTTTGTACGTGGGATGATTGTTGGCGCTCAAGCCATGGAGCGAGTATCAGCAAAACAGCAGAATTCTTTAAATGTTCAAGAGCAGCTGTTGTTAAAGTGTTTAAAGACTGGACTGTCAGCTGAAAATCTGGGTCTGAACGTGCGAATTATGGCTGTCAGCGGCTAGTCAATGTTAGGGCAGAACGGAGAGTGGCAAGACTGGTACAAGACAACAGAAGGGCAACAGTGCAGTGTCAGATTCCTCGCATCACCTTTCAACATCTCGTGGAGTCACGAGGCGGCCCAACGAAGTCATCTCGTGGAGTCATCTCATGGCCCAACGAAGTACTGATGGGGTGGTCATAATAATCTGGCCACTCAGTGTACAGTACAATGCATATTTTATTTGATGTAGTGAACAGTGTACCCTCCACGAAACAGCCAAACTCTTTCCACTAACTCTCAGAGGTGGGCTGCCTAATGATCCATCTTACAGCCAATTTACTAACTTCCATGAGTGAAGGGTTGTGTGTGGTGTAAGCCATTAGGCAAAACCTGTTTTGGCCTAGTTGAGGAAGTACTGGCATAAATACTCACAGAATTAAAATGGTATATGTGACAGCACTTTCCTTAAAACTATTCTATTTAAGCACAATCGAATTCAGATAAGAGAACAGGCATCAGTCCTCGGCTTTACTGAGATCTTTAAATCATTGAACAGACTTTCCTTTAGAAGATAAGTAAAGTAAATGGAGATAAAAAAGAGATGAAAGCTCAACACCAGCCAAATGTTTCTATTTACTTTTGGATATATTGGGTAAGGGTTATAGGCTCTCTTGGGTTCTTATTGCCATTTATGTCCCATATTGGAATATTTCCTCTTAATTTCCTGTCAAGACAGGACACGCTTGGAAATCTCTCTAATAGATACACAGACAAAAACTAATTTATAGTAGAGTGAGAAAGGCTTAGAACTTTTCATAGTGATTTAATGGTTGTCTCCTCTCTCACAAAAGCTGGCCATACATGAATAGTTTTCGGAACGGTCTTTTGATTTTCTAATAGTTAAAGGGGTCAAATAAAAAGTAATTGTAACTGTAAACTGTAGTGCCAAAAAAAATTGAAGGAGCAAAGGAGTGAAATCTTTCTTGATAAAACCAAATTCTTACAGTGAATGTGGTTTTGGTTCGGGAAACTCCATGTGCTCCACAATCGAATATTAAAAGCAAACAAAGTTATGAACGATATTCGTCAAGTTTCTGATGGCATTATCGAATGTGATGAAAAAAGCTCCCCAGATTTATAAAAACAGAAATGTTAACTCCTCGCTTTATCCAAAACTAAATGAAACATTTCATATATCCCAACTTTCTGTGATGGGAAAGAGGGACACCTTCTAGCACAAGGTATGTAGGCAAGGAACACACCCACAGTTAGCCAGACCATAAAGAGTGAATATGCAGAAAATGATTGTGTAAACCAACAAGTCCTTTCTTCACTACTAAATCTCCTTACTAACTGTTCAAAACAACAAATGCAAGAATTTAGAGGATAGATGAAAGGATTAGCATAGTATAGTAGTTTTGGTAGTTAAATGAGAACACCAGGAATTAACTAAATGAACCCTTGTCGTCGGGCTAGGGTTACTACAAGGGTTAACTGCTTTTCTGGTCCTGCCTGGATGCTAGACTGCTAGACCGGTCTCTGCAGCCTCTTCTCCCCTGTGCTCCAGCAGTCTAAGCCCCGCTAACATTATTACATAGAATGCTGGTCCATGCACCTGCATTAGTTGTGAGTACACAGAGGAACATACCACAGCCAGAGTTGAGGGGGGAGAGAGGTGAGTGCTGACCCCTGGAAGACCAAGGATCTGGTGAGTATACCTTCTGCATTCTGGCCCCTAGGAAAAAAAACAAATGCAGTGTGGGGGTAGCCCCATTGCAAGGGATAACTTTGTTAATCGCTGGAGTTCCTCCTAAAATAATACATTGTATACCTCTAGACCAAAAAGAGGGACACCTGAGGGGGGAAGATGAACAGAGGGATTCAGTTTGAAAAGTGGGACAGTACATTGAACTGAGGGACAGTTAAGAGCTATGCATTTTGTCTCGAGTTAGTTGTTAATTCAGATCCTAGACTAAAGAATCCAGTTTTTGGTTTATCTAGCAGAACAGTCAATGTTTGAACATTAATAAAGCAAGGAATCTGCTGAGCTCTGAACTGTATCCAGTCAGAAGATTATAACACAGAAATTGAGATGTAGCCAATAAGGATTTGGGAATATTCACTGGTCTGGGCCAACCGGCAGTCAGTTGGAACAGTAACACTTTTATAGGGCTAGACCAGCTCTTCCCTGGTCAGAACATCAAACATTTCACATAGCTCCAGCATTTACAAGCCACAACATAAGAAAAACAAAAAACATGCGTCCCGCGTAATCTCTAGCCTAAAGCCAGCTACTAACCGTATGAGTCATTTACAGGAGCTTCTCGCTTCCTTTACACGTCTTGCTATATTAAACACAAATAAAAGTGAGTACAATACCCTGAGATTGGTTTAATCCCTTTTTTATATGAATTCCAATAACACCAGATAATGTGGTGTGTGGCTGACGAGTCCATCATCGTAATTAGGGAGGAAGTGCTGGAATATGCAGATACGTCTAGAGTGAAGTCTAAATTGTTCCACGAAACTCCCCCTGTATGTGCAGAACACGTGACCAGTCTCACACACCTCCTTTAATTAAAGTAGCAGAGCAATAATACATCTGACTCAGTCCCTCCAGGATAAGGAAAATAAGATCCACTCTATTAAAACCATCTGTTTGGGGGGAAAAAATGCAGCACGAATTCACTTCTCCACATTTAATATAGTTCATTTTGGGGCCTATTTATAAACTGGTGAAATCAATGGTTCGCTCTTTATCGGTGGGCATATACAGCATTTCTTAATGGTTTTATCTATTTTTAAGACTGTTTAGGGCAGTTAATAGCATTCCTACAATTAAATATAATGTAAACAGTTATGAGGTTTGATGGTGCTGTGCACACTCAGTAGCTTGGAGACTGTGAGTGAGATGAAATCCAATGTACCCCAGTTTTTGGAATTAATTCCTCCTCTATTTCTTCCCCACTAGTTCCACTGACACTACTGTTACAACTCTC